ACACACACACACACACACACCATATATATATATATATATTATATATATTATATATATATATATATATATATATAATATATATAATATATATGTATATAGTTTATATATATATAATATATAATATGATATATATATATATATAACATATAATATATATATATATATATTATATAAATATATATATTATATATATTATATATATATATATATATATTATATATATAATATATAATATATATATATATATATATATATATATAATATAATATTATAAATATATATATATATATATATATATATATATATATTATATATATATATATATATATATATATATATATATAATATATATAATACTATATATATATAATAATATATATATATATATATATATATATATATATATATATATATATATGTATATATATATTGATATATATATAAATATATATGTATATACATATGTTTTCGTAATTTATTGTACTATCATGATAGAACATTGTGGAACAGGAACCAGAAATGGAAGACAGTATTATATAAGGAAACAAATTGATTAACAGATTTAACCATGTTGTGGCAATAGTGCGTTAATGTAATTATATTAACAGTTAATGGAAATAGTTAGGTTAGCTTGTAAGCGTAATTAAATAAACAAGTGTTTTCTAAGACTGATAGCTCACGGATGTGTGTAGGCAGTGACAAGTCCTGTTGTTTCCCCGCAAAGCATTGAATTCTTGTCTATCAAGTGTTTTGCTTTTGTCATGATTATTACTTTTAGTTGCTTGATGTTTGATTGATGTACTCACTTAAAAATACAATTTAGTGTGTGCTTATTATAATTCACTATTTCTTTACTCTTTTAGAGTAATATTTAATTCACCGAGCATGTTTATTTTATTTTAGTTTGTTGTTTCTCTTGTGGTCATTATTCCTTTGTGTAATATATATTTAATTCATCGATTTGTGAAATGTTAAATGATTAATTGTTTTTATAATGATTTGACTAAGATATAACGTTGCTTTGAGTGTTGTTAATCTTGTTTTTATCAAGTTTCATATAACAGTGGAGGATCTGTTCGTTGTTGTAATTGTTCTGACGTGGTCAAGCAGAGAGGAGAAGGGAAGGAAGAAGCGGAGCCAGAAGAGGTGAAGAGAGAGAGAGGGGAGACGAGGGAGGACGTCCTACATTCTATCATCGTCGAGAATCCAAGAAGCAACAGGTGAGGCGGATCGGGCGTGTCGGAGACGACGGATCGCCGGATAGGGGGCGAGGGGGAGAAGAACAGAGCGTACCACAGTGGGCCAGTACAGGGCATCCTGCCGACGATACGCGCCAGGTCGGGCCAGACGAAGAGGACCGGGGGGAGGTAGACCGGGGGAGTCGGATAAGAGCGGTCTGATTGCAGCGGCGGGGGGACGCGGGAGAGAGAGGAATCCGAGAGAGGCGAGAGCAGACCGCTCGGACATCTCGTGCGAGGGGCACGAGGTGGTGCGAGCGGGTGCTCGGGCCGGAGTTAGGAGACCGACGCCAGGCGGAGATGCATGGGGGGGCGGCGGGGGGGACCGGCGGAGAACGAGGGACGCCTCGGTCCGAGAGATGGGAGCGAGGGAGGAGAATTCGAGTCGGATGAGGACCGAGAGGAGAAGGACTGGGGAGATGGAAGAGGGAGACAAGGCATGGAAGAGGAGGGGGATTACGCGCACATGGCAGATGCGGAGCACGTCGTAGTCTGCAGGTATAGGACTTACACACCGAGAGGGCGTGGAGGGCTGGTGGAAGGAAAGTAGGAGAGCGTGGGCTCAGGAGTAGAGATGTGCGAGCGGCGATAGGCGGAGGGGGCCGGTCTGCCACCCCGTGGGGACGGGATAGGAGAAGAGCGCATTGCGGGGCTGAGAGCCGAATAGCTCGCCGAATAGAGATGGAGGAGAGTGAGGAGAGGAGATGAAAGTGGAGGAAGGAGACTGACACGAAGAATTGATAGAGGGAATAAGAGGGGATGGAGAGGGAATGATAAGAGAGGGAAATATGACGAGAGAGAGAGAGAGAGAAACACCTGAGCTGCATGAAGTGGTTTGACTTCAACAAAAGATATCACAAACTGCTTTTACCTTTCCCCCAAAGAAAACCCAATTTTTTAGTAGTGATAGCATGGCAGCTGGCATTAGATAACTGGTGAGTGGAACTGAAAAGCGAGGGCGAAACGGATCTTGGTGTTTGAAGTTGAGCGTGGTTAGGTCGTAGTGATGCTCTCACTAACCCTCTCTTATTATCTCTCTCTCTCTCTCTCATCTCCCTCTCTTCTCATCTCTCTCTCTCTTCTCTCCCTCTCTCTGCTCTCCTCTCTCTCTCTTTTTTTCTTCCTCTTCCTTTTTTTCCTCTCTCTCCTTCTCTCTCCTCCTCTCTCTCTTCTGTCTACCCTTTTCCCTCTCTCCTCTCTCCCTCCCGCCCGACCGGCCCTCATCTTCGTCTGCGTCTCCTTCCCCTCTCTCTCTCTTCTCTCTCTCTCGTCTCTCTGTCATAATCCACTTTTTCCCCTTCTCTCGTTCTCACCCCCGCCCCCCGCTCTCTCTCTTCCTCTCTCTTCTCTCTCTCTCTGTCTCTCTCTCTCTTCTCTCTCTCTCTCTTCCCTCACCTCTCCTTTCTTCTCTCTCTCTCCTGTCCTATCCCTTGTTTCCCCTTCTCTCTTCTCTCTTTCCCTCCCCCCTCTCTCTCCCTTTGCTGCCTCTCTCTCTCTTCTCTCTCCTTCTTTCGTCGTCTCTTCTTCGTCTCTCTCTCTCTCTGCTCTCTCTCTTACTCTCTCCCTCATCTCTCTCTCTCAGTCTCTCTACCTTGCTTCTTCTCCTTCTCCTTCTCCTCTCTCGTCTCTCTCTCTCTCCTCTCTCCCTCTGCTTCTCTTCGTCCCTCTCCTGATAACAAACAACCCATACTGACCGCATCTATTTTCTCCCTAACCTAGCCCTCACTTAGCACTCGTACACTCTCTCTCTACTACATCCAGCTCTTCTCTCTCTCTTTCCCCTTGCCTACGCCATGTCTGCTTCTCCATCTCATCTCTCTCTGCGATCTCTCTCTCTCTCCTCTCATCTCTCTCTTTCTCTCTCTCTTCTCCTCCTCTGTCTCTCTCTACCTTCTGATGCTATCGGTCTCATCTCTAGTTTCTCTTTCCCTCCTCTCTGCGGGTTCTCTCGAGTCGGGCTCCTCTCCCTCTTCTCTCTCTGCTCTCTCTCTCCCCTCCTCTCTGCACCACTTCTCCTCACTCTCTCTCATCACATCGCTTCTCCTCAGCTCTCTCTCTCTCTCTTATCCGTATCTATCTAGTTTTCGCCTCTCTCCATCTGTTCTACTTCTCACACTATCTAACATACACCTCACTCCTCTCTTCGCCTCAAGTCTCGCTCTCTGCCTCTGCTCTCTCTTCCTCTCTCTCTCTCTCTCTCATCTCTCTTCTCTCTCTCTCTCTCTCCTTCTCTCTCCTCTCTCTCCCGTCTCTCCTCTCTGCTCATGATCGTAATGTCCTGCTTCTCCCCTGCTGCGTCTCCCTCTCCCCTCTCCCCTACTCTGCTTCCGTAAAGCAGAGGAACCTCTCCTCTCCGTCTCCTTCCTCAGCGTCTCACCCTCATCGCGTCGCTCCTCCTCTCTACTCCTACTCCTCCTCCTCTCTCCTCCTCTCCTCTCTTCTCTCTCTGCTCGTTCTCTCTCCTCGCTCTTCTCTCTCCCCTCTTCTCTCTACTCTCTCTTTCGCGCTCTCCTCTCTCTCTCTCTCTCTCTCTCTCTCCTCTCTCGTCTGCTCTCTCTCTCTCTCTCTCTCCATCTTCTCTCTCTCTCTCTCCTCCTTCTTCGCTCTCCTCTTCATCTTGTCGCTCATTCTTTCTCTCTCTTTTCGGCTCTACTCTTCTCCTCTCTGCGCAAACAGGATGCCCTCGTCCGCCTGGTGAGTGACAAGGCGTAATAGAAACGGCCTTACCCTTATACACTCCAGACAGTAAATATATTCTCACGTGCGATTTCTTCTCCTCCTAGGACTCTGTGGTCTGAAGCTTAGTATCCCCCATAACATCGTAAAAAAAATGTTGGGAAAAACATTTTTCTCCTTCAACATCGTTTGATTTCGTGTTGCGGGGGGGGGTGTGTAAAGGGCATGATCTTAAACTCTCTCTTTCAATCAACGTGCGTTTAGTGATAGGGTTATTAATAAGGATTATGTAGATCGGACTGGAAAGGGACGCAAACGCGTTCGCTTGCAAAATCTCCCAGTAATTTTTCACATTGGGGATACTGCGACTTCAAGACGCCGCTTTGGCTTGCTAAACAAGGGTTGGAGGAAAAGAAACAGCTCTTCACCGCCACGTCTAGTCTTCTATCTTCTTCCTTTTTTATCTTCTCGTTCTTCTCTTCTTTATCCTCTCCCATCTCCTCCTCCTTTTCCCCGTCCCCCGTCCTCCTCCTCCTCTCGTCTCTTTACTATCATACTGTCTCTCCGTTGAACCACAGAAAGTTATGAATAAGAAAATTAGCAAATTTTCCACCTTCGTTCACACTCCACCGGGCCGTGCAGTCGGGGAGCTTGAAAAAGCAAAAACAATGTGTATCGAGGTTATGAGAAGCCCATCTCTAGTCTAAATCAGTGACCGGATAGGACGGCGCCCTGCGTTGTTATTGACATCACTCCATGGGATGCCGTGGTTTTGCTTGTGCGGTGGGGGAATAGCAACCATCAGATTACAGTTCTGCTCACCTCATCACCACGTTCATCGTTTCGGTAGAAATCTGAGTTGACGCTGGACTCCGCGGGGTTGGGATGCGGGCCGAAGCAGGGGTGCGGAGATGGGGGGCGAGGGGGGCAGGAGGGTCTGTGCGCGTCTCGTACGGGGGGTGGCGCGATGCCAGGCCGAGAAATAGTGGACACCTAGTGGCGCCGAGACAGACAGGCTGAGGATCCGGAGTAGCGAAGTCCATCTGCGGCCGTCCGCAACGTAGCCGCCGGTCGCGGCCATGCGGGTCACTGCTCGGCGTGACGGTGCAGACGCTGAGTACAAGAGGCGGCGTGCGCCCGCGCCGCGGGGCGGAGCGCTGTAGGTGCCGCCGGGGCTTGCGCTGGCTCGAGAGCGCCCGCCAGCGGGTCAGCGCCGCTGCCCGCGGCGACGCGCTGCGCGCGGGCCGGGCTTCCGGCCGGGGTCGGGGCGCGGCCGTGGCCGCTAGAGTGGGTACAGCAGGGCGCCGCGCTGGCTGGCGTCAGCGCCCGGGTGCACGTGCGGCCGGTGATTCTTGGGCTCGTCACGTCGCAGCGGGTCGCGCGCGGCTGTGCGGCGCGCGGAGGCCGACGGGTGGGCCGTGCTCTATTATTCGGCGTCCTCTTTTTGTTTGTTTGGGATCAGAGGTGACCGCCAATTCCACATGCGCCTCGCTTAGTATTAGAATAGTTGGGTCTGAGTCTGACTTTGTCTTGCCAGTGTAAGGATTTATATTATTGGCAGCTAACGAAACAGGTCCATGGGGCTATAGTTGATTATTATAGCTGACTTAGCAGTTCACCATGTGCCTGCGACTGCACTGCTCCATGATGGTGCATCCCCGAATGCATCTGATCGAGGTGCCTAAGCCCCTACTTTCGGTAGTCCCTGGACATCACTCAGGTCGATCATCCAGAGCACAAGACATCCGCGCGCAATAGTCCGCGTAAGGGCCATCATTCGATGATCCACCATCCATTATTCACATCATCACCTGATTCACCATTACCGCACCCTACATCATTGTGCTTCCATATAATTGTTACTTACCGCTCGCCCTGATTGTCATACCTTCAAAATTCGCAACAACACGGATGAACGACTCTTTATCTATTGAATGGAATGCCGAAATTCCCTGTATTTCATTGTCCGCCTCTGTTTTGCTAACTGAGATGTATCTGTGTTTATTTTTATTGCAATGTATTTGTCTGTAGGAACAGGCGAAGGCCGAGCCGGGGAGAATTAAGGCCCAAATTTCCTTCACTAGTATTGTGAGATGACTATGCATTTCCCAAAATAACATCTACTGTGGTGGCGATGGGTGAATCTTGGAACTTTTTTCGCGGGTGCATGCAGGGCTGGGTCTATAAGACAATTGTTGAATGTACTCATTTTTACAGTTAGATTTAAACGCATTAGAGGCCGAACACAAACTAGTCTTGAGGGCGTCTAGACAGCATTTAATGTCTATCATGTGCGGCAAGTATTTCCATATGAAGGTTGCTTTCGCATACTGGTGTGGCTCACCCGACGGATCGCTCACAGGCATCGAGCATCTCCTTCTGGCTCTCGCGGAACACCGCCCGTCCCGTTCTGTGCACTTTATGACTTCTCCTCAAGACACGTAAGTAATTAGATAAGATTAGTGCTTCTAATGTATGCAAATTCCATTAGCTTGCTTCGCCTGATTCTGTCTAAACGCGTTATATACTCCTATGAACCGATGGTGCAATCTCGCGGTCGTCTGGGAATCCACTCGCTCCCTCGGCCATTGCTCGAGTGATCGTGGAGTGTAATAAACGCTTAGTCTAAGACAGTAATATTATTGCTAATTGAAACTATAATTACTGGCATGATGTCATAAAGTGTT